TGGTCCCTGGTCAAGGACAGACAAGGTTATCTGCCTGATGAACTCATTCCACCTCTAAATCGACAGGATGGGACCACCTCTACTAGTAGTCAAGAGAAGGCGGACCTCTTTGCTGAACACTTTGCTACCAAAATGCAAGTTCCTGATCCAGCAAGGGACCCTCCTTGGCTAGCTGCAAGAACTGAGTCAAAACTGTCAGTGGTGACAATAAGGCAGGAGGAGGTGCATTTCCTTCTTAAATCGCTTGACCAAGAAAAGGCTGTGGGCCCAGACAAGTTGAGCCCAAGATTGCTGAGAAGATGTGCAGACCAGCTAGCAGCACCTCTAACTCGCATCTTTCAGCACTGCCTAGTACAGTGTAAATGGCCCTCTCTGTGGAAAGAGGCAAATGTAGTCCCTGTTCACAAAAAGAAGAGTAGAGCAGAAATCAGCAATTACAGACCAGTGTCACTCCTGTCAATCACTGGTAAGATCTTTGACACAATAATCTCAAGACAAATGACAGAGTTTTTTGACTACCACTCACTACTTTGTGATCGGCAATATGGCTTCAGGAAAGGTTACTCTGCTGCTGATCTGTTGTTAAACCTCTCCACTAAGTGGCAACAGTCACTGGATGAATCCAAAGTCAGCTGTGTGGTAGCACTGGACATTGCTGGCGCTTCTGACCGGGTGTGGCACCAGGGCCTCTTAGCAAAACTTCAAGCACTGGGAATTGCAGGCTCTACTCTATGTCTCCTCAGTGATTACCTTCATGGTAGATCTCTATGTGTAGTTCTCAATGGAACGGAATCAGCAAGACACCCTATTGGGGCAAGTGTTCCACAAGGAAGCGTGCTGGGACCATTGTTATGGAATGTCTACTTCAACGACCTTCTTCATCTCATCCCAGAATCACATGCATATGCAGATGACTGTACACTGACATTCACTTATCCAAGAGAAGAAATGTCAGCTGCTCTAAGCTACATCAATAACCAGCTGAGAGCTATATCAGCTCGGGGAAATAGATGGCAAGTAACATTTGCACCTGAGAAAACGCAAATGATGATCATCTCTAGGCACCATGATGGTAATGCTGGTGCAGTAGTAAGGATGAATGGGAGGGTGTTGGCACCTGGAGAAGAAGTTGATATCCTTGGGGTAAAATTTGACTCCAAACTAACCATGAAGAACCATGTTGTAAATCTTGCAAACAAGGCAGCCAGGAAGCTTACAGCACTTCGCCATATCTCGCATCTACTTAACAGTAGGGGTTGCAAGATTCTGTACGAGGCACAAGTACGCCCACACCTTGAGTATGCTCCACTTTCTTGGTTTGCCTGCCCCCCCCTCTCATCTGCGACTGCTTGACAGAGTAGAGAACAGAGCAAGACGTCTCATATCTCGCCTGGACCCATCCTGGATAGATCTGTCATTTCAGCAGAGCCTTCAACATAGGAGCGAGCTGGGTGGCCTTACTGTTATGTACAAGGCCAATATTGTCAAAGTACCACACTTAGATGCACTTCGAGGACAGCGTGAAACAAGCTTTTATGCCACAAGATGGGCAGAAAGCAGCAACTTCACTCTGGCTGTACCCTTCTCCAGAACATCACTCCATCTGAGATCATATATACCCAGGATGACTCGAGTATGGAACACATTCGTACAGCATGATGATGTCAACGAGATAAAGTCAGCTGATCAAATGACAATGCTGGCCCACAGATGGCTCCAATTTCAGAGAGAGAGAGAGAGAGAGAGAGAGAGAGAGAGAGACAGACAGACAGACAGACAGACAGACAGCCAGACAGCCAGACAGCCAGACAGACAGCCAGACAGACAGACAGACAGACAGACAGACAGACAGACAGCCAGACAGCCAGACAGCCAGACAGCCAGCCAGCCAGCCAGCCAGCCAGCCAGCCAGCCAGCCAGCCAGCCAGCCAGCCAGCCAGCCAGCCAGCCAGCCAGCCAGCCAGCCGGATACGTATTACACATTCCAGAGTTGTTTCTCTTTACTTAGAGTATAGGTTATACTACATTCTGGCAGGATGACACTACCAGTGGTATTCTCCCATTCCACGTGTCGACAATACATAAAGATAACAGTAACATATGATACAGTATGTGATGCAAAATTTACAATACAGTTCACTACCATGTATACATTATATACAGTACATAAATAATTAAAATATAACAATAAAAGTAAATTATGGTAAAAAGAATGAAATAATGATTGTACATTACATTACAGTATTATGTAGGTAGTTTATATAGGAAATGTTTGATATTATGCCCTACCCAGTATGTCGGCAATTTTCAAAGGTTGGACTTGCATCCATTTTGACTTACGACCGGTTGGTCGGAACCAAGCTTGGTTGTAAGTTGGATGGTACCTGTGTATGGTATAGGTAGTAAGTTACCCAATACTGCAAAGATCTTTTATGAGGATAGCGAGGCTCAGGTTAGGGTGTGTAGAAAAGAGGGAGATTATCTCTCAAAAAAAGTAGGTCTTAGATAGGGATGTGTAACATCACCATGTTGTTTAACATATTAACCCTTTCATGGTCACCAGGCCCTCTCCCAGACTTGTTCTCAGAGTCGCCCAAATTTAAAAAAAAAATTATTTTTTCTTATAAAAAGATAATCTTTTCCCGATCATAATGGCACCAAAAGTACGAAATTTGATGGAAAACTTACAGAATTATACTCTCGCGAAGTTAGCGGTCTCAACGATTTTGCCCACTTTGAGCTCTATTTTCGGCCAATTCCAGTGTACTAGTTGGCAAATATCATAACTATTTTGCTAGAACTCTATTTTTTCTATCGAATGAGTACAAGAAACCACCCATTTACCGATTTCAACTATCCAATAAAGTGGTCAGAATTTTGCAATTTTGCCAATTTCACACAAACTTCAAAAGATGCCAATTTCTGAATAGGGTCCAGAATAAACAAGAAAGACATTCCTGGCACTAAAATAACAAGTTCTCTGTTCGTTAGTCACATCCCCAGGCCCCTCTTATATTTCTTTGGCTTTCCACTTTGAATTTTTATTCTTACAAAAAATAGAAGATTTACTGTTATGCAGACTACTGTATTAGTGTAGAAATGGTATAAATAATATCGGCGCACTTGTGAAAGAATATTAGACTCACCAGTTGACGTGTATTGGACGCCTGGCATGATTTGTTTACTTTTGAACTTTGGTAAAAATCGAACATTTCTGCTACTTTGAGCTCAATTTCAAGGTACTTTTCATTGTAAAACCAGTTAAAATCATCTCAATTTCTGTAATATGTCTTCCATTCTATAAAATGAGACCAGGAAAACTAGAATACAACCATAAATACCATACGAAAATGCAGTGCAAATTCGCTGTTTTAATCCAAAAACACAAAGTTTTTTTTTTTCTCATTACGCACTGTGTGCTGCAGGATTTTTTTTATACTGCGCACACTGACCACATAGACCCATTCTTTCATATGTAGGCCTACCAGCTTTCTCTCACTAGATTTGAGGGCGCTAGAATTTAGGCATACTAGTATGTCAAAAACCCTGGGGCGTAAGCCGTACTAGTACGGCCGAAACCCTGAAAGGGTTAATAGATGGGGTTGTAAAAAAGTAAATGCTAGGGGGTTGGGGAGAGGGGTGGGATTAAATTATGGGGAATCAAATACAAAACAGGAGTTGACACAGTTACTTTTTCCTTTGATACTGTGCTTTTGGGAGATTCTAAAGAAAAGCTGTGAAGTTTAGTGGACGAGTCTGGGTGTGTAAAGGTAGAAAGTTGAAAGTGAACATAGATAAGCGTAAGGTGATGAGGGTATCAAACTATTTAGATAAAGAAAAATTGCATATCACATTGGAGGGAGGGAGTATGGAAGAAGTGAATGTGTTGAGACATTTGGGAGTTGACTTGTCAGCAGATGGGTTTATGGAGGATGAGGTTAATAATAAAATTGATGAAGGAAAGAAGGCGAGTGGTGCTTTGAGGTATCTCTGGAGACAAAAAACGTTATCCATGGAGGTAAAGAAGGGAATGTACAAGAGTATAGTGGTACCAACACTCTTATATGGGTGTGAAGCATGGGTTGTAAATGCTGCAGCAAGGAAGAGGCTGAAGGCAGTAGAGATGTGTCTAAGGGCAATGTGTGGTGCAAATGCTATGCAAAGAATTCATAATGTGGAAATTAGTAGGAGGTGTGGAGTTATTAAAATTATTAGTCAGAGGGCTGAAGAGGGGTTGTTGAGGTGGTTTGGTCATTTTGAGAATATGGAACAAAGTAGAATGACTTGAAGAGCGCATCAATCTGCAAGGGAAGGAAGGCGGGGCAGGGGTCATCCTCAAAAATGTTGGAGGGAGGGGGTAAAGATTTTGCGAGCGAGGGGCTTGGACTTCCAGCAAGCATGCTTGAGTGTGTTAGATAAAAGTTAATGGAGACGAATGGTTTTTGGGACCTGACGAGCTGCTGGATTGTGATATTTTGTAAAGAGATTCAGGGAAACAAGTTAGCCAGACTTGAGTCCTGGAAGTGGGAAGTACAATGCCTGCACTTTAAAGGAGGGGTTTGGGATATTGGCAGTTTGGAGTGACATCTAAACTGTCATATCTGAGCACCTCTGCAAAGACAGTGATTATGTATGAGTGATGGCAAAAGTGTTGAATGATGAAAGCCTTTTCTTTCTTCTTGTATCACCCTGCCTCGGTGGGAAACAGCCGAAGTGTTAAAAAATAAAAATTAGCCACCAAACTGTAATTTGTTTCATTCAATGAGTTTTGTACAAGAACATGAGAGATAGGTTTCAGAATACTAGGTGTGGGGAAGAAGGCTTTAAGTGCCAGAAACCAAACCTCATATTCACTGTTTAACTGGGATCACTTCCTAAGGTAAGGCACATTACACTGCCTCTTCTTGGAATTTTTCCCTTCTCCCTACATATTAAGTATGTAGAATGGGTATACTGCAAGATAATTCTATACATTCAAAACAAGTGCAGATTTTACTGACCTAGTAATAGCTCGCACTCGGAAGACTGCTTGTGGTTGGTAAAGAATGACCATCACCTTCTCTTCGCTTGTTGAAGAGTCTATCACTCCATTGAGGCTGCCAGTCACCTCTTTTTCATTGACAAAAAAACTGTATGGGGTTTGCTCCTCCTGAAATATACATTTGTATTAAATGTTTTGGGTGTACTGTAGTACAGGTGCTTCTTGACTTATGAACATGAATGATATGCTAAATAAATAATTAAATAGCTACTGTTACTGAATATGTAAATAAACAAATAATTAATGTAACTAACTAAATACCCATATTGAAACTTACAGCAGAAGATCTGGAAAACTGCCCAAAACAGCGAGAGGTCCCATGCCCACAAATTAATTTAGGACTATGATTAATAATCATCTCATCTCTCAATAATACCCATACCCACACTATGCTAATCTCTAACCAGATCTGAAGCAACTCTCCAAAAATTTTATTACCCCTTATCTATTAACCCTTTGATTGTCAGTGTCATATATATACATCTTACGAGCCAGTGTCGGTGACATATTAATCCACCAAAATTGTAGCATCTTTGAATCAAGCGGGAGAAAGCTGGTAGGCCCACATGTGAGAGAATTGGTCTGTGTGGACAGTGTGTGTAGTATAAAAAAATACTGCAGCACACAGTGCATAATGAGAAAAGAAAAACTCAGACCATGTTTTTGGATTAAAACACCAACTTTGAGGTGCATTTTCGTATAGTATTTATAGATGCATTCTTGTTTTCTTGGTTTCGTTTGATAGAAGGGAAGACATATTACAGAAATGGAGGTGATTTTGATTGGTTTCACAATGAAAAAGACCTTGAAATTGAGCTCAAAGTAGCAGAAATGTTCAATTATTGCCATGTTCAAGAGTAAACAAATGACATCACCGTCCAATAAGTGTCCAACTAGCCATTCTAATACGCAGTCACGAATGGGTTGACATTATTTATACAATTATTACAATAAAGCAGTAGTCTGCATAACAGTAAATCTTTTATTCTTTGTGTGAATAAAAATTCAAAATAGGAAGCAAGAGTAATACAAGAGGGGCCTGGAGACATGACTAATGAACAGAGAAAATTTTATTTTAGTGCCAGGAATGTCTGCACTGTTCATTCTGGAACCTATTTTGACACTGGTATCTTTTTTAATTTGCATGAAGTTGGTCAAATTGCCAATTTCTGACCACTTTATTGGGTAGTTGAAATCGGTTAATGAGAGGTTTCTTGTACTCAATCGAGAGAACAAATGGATTTCTAAAGAAATAGCTATGAGTTTGGTCAACTGGAACAATGGAATTGGCTGAAAATAGAGCACAAAGTGGGCAAAATCACCGATGTGTATATATAGCCAGGATCTCTAACCTTGCGAGAGCATAATTCCATAAGTTTTCCATCAAATTTCGTACTTTTGGCATCATTACCATTGGGAAAAGATTCTCTATCATTTCATATAAAAAACAATTTTGTTTTTAATATTTTGCGACAGACACTTCAGGATTTGGGATCAAGAAAGTCATTACAAACCTAACAATGATTTCTATTATTATTATTAACACATCGGCCGATTCCTACCAAGGCAGGGTGGCCCAAAAAAGAAAAACTCATCATTATTCACTCCATCATTGTCTTGCCAGAGGTGTCCTTACACTAAAATTTATAAAATTGCAACATTAACACCCCCCTTCAGAGTGCAGACACTGTACTTCCCATCTCCAGGATTCAAGTCCAGCCTGCCGGCTTCCCTGAATCCCTTAATAAATGTTACTTTGCTCACACTCCAACAGCACATAAAGCATTAAAAACCATTTGTCTCCATTCACTTCTATCAAATACACTCATGCATGCTTGCAGGAAGTCCAAGTCCCTTGCACACAAAACCTCCTTTACCCCGTCCCTCCAACCTTTCCTAGGCCGACCCCTACCCCGCCTTCCCTCCACTACAGATTTATACACTCTTGAAGTCATTCTGTTAGGTTCCATTCTCTCTACATGTCCGAATCACCTCAACAGCCCTTCCTCAGCCCTCTGGACAACAGTTTTGGCAATCCCGTACCTCCTCCTAACTTCCAAACTACGAATTCTCTGCATTATATTCACACCACACATTGCCCTCAGACATGACATCTCCACTGCCTCCAGCCTTCTCCTCACTGCCACATTCATCACCCATGCTTCACACCCATATAAGAGCATTGGTAAAACTATACTCTCATACATTCCCCTCTTTGCTTCAAAGGACAAAGTTCTTTGTCTCCACAGACTTCTATGTGCACCGCTCACCCTTTTCCCCTCATCAATTCTATGATTCACCTCATCTTTAATAGACCCATCTTCTGACATGTCCACTCCTAAATATCTGAATACATTCACCTCCTCCATACTCTCTCCCTCCAATCTGATATCCAATATTTTGTCACCTAATCGTTTTGTTATCCTCATAACCTTACTCTTTTCTATATTCACTTTTAACTTTCTTCTTTTACATACCCTACCAAATTCATCCACCAACCTCTAAAACTTTTCTTCAGAATCTCCCAAGAGCACAGTGTCATCAGCAAAAACCAACTGTGACAACTCCCACTTTGTGTTAGATTCTTTATCTTTTAACTCCACACCTCTTGCCAAGACCCTCACATTTACTTCTCTTACAACCCCATCTATAAATATATTGAACAACCACAGTGACATCACACATCCTTGTCTAAGGCCTACTTTTACTGGGAAATAATCTCCCTCACTATCCTCGTAAAAACTCTTCACTGCTCCTACACCATACACCTACAACATCTACCACATTGCCCCCTATCCACCCTGCTATATGCCTTATCCAAATCTATAAATGCCAAAAAAAACTCTTTAGCCTTACCTAAAAATACCATAAATTGTACTACCTCATAAATACCATAAATTGTACTACCTCACATTAATAATAGAGTAAAATATTGAATATCTGAAATTTACTACTCTTTATCTGTCTAGACTTAAGTAGTCTTTAACCCTTAAACTATCCAAACATAGATCTACATTAGTACCGCTAGTGCTCCGAACGTAGATCTACGTTTTATTTTTCTTGCCTTCAAATTTGGCCCGATAGGCTTGAGCAGCCTATACATGAGAGAATAGGTATGCACACTCAGTGTGTGAAGTATGAAAAAATCAGGGACACCAGGGTACTGCATGGTAGCACCCGTTAATTTCAGGTCCATCTTGGGTCAACATCATGGCAAACCCAAGTGATTCACTCATGCCTAGTCGTATTAACACTCTCCTATTCGAGGGAGGTTATACAGAACATGAGTTTAGTGGATTGACACCAATATGGCCACTAATGATCAAGGAATTAGTGAAACTATTGATGATAACCCAGATGACCCTCAGCCTATCACCTACGGGGTCACCAGTGTGGACAGTGTGGCCATACCTTAGCCCAGCACCTCTGGGGTGGCTAGTGTTACAACCCAATGGCAACTACGCAAGAGGAAATTATCATTTTCCATCGGTTTTGGTGTTGACGATAGTGAAAAGTGATATAAGTGATGATGAGATCGATTTTATGCCCATAGAGGATTCGTCGAGTGACAGTGATATTCATTATTCCCCAGTGAAACGTACTTTTAGGCATAGTCGCTTACATTCAGACAGTACTCTATATGCAGTCCACAAGGGTCGTGGGAGGTCACGATCGAAAACCAGTCACGGATAGTGATAGTGATCATGAAGGAGAATATGTGACGATGGAGGAAGAGGTGGTGGTGGTGGTGGGTGGCATGGTGCCTGGGCCGCATGGTATGGTGGGTGGGCAGACAAAGGACTGCCTGGCACCTCCTCAGCCATGTGCTGGCTCCACTCCCATCCCTCCTCCTGCTCCCCCACGCCTCATGCCACAAGTCCACCCTGCACCATGTGACCGTGACTGGAAATGGACAGAAAGTACACCATTCGTGCCACATCCTTGTAATTTTGATGCCAGTGGAAGTGGCATCATGCCAGAATGTCCCATCACAAATGAGTCTATAGAGTTAGACTATTTCCAACTATATTTTGATGAGCCTATAATGAACTTGATTGTTACCCAGATCAACAGTTACTATCACTATACAATGGACAACACAGAGGTTGCAGAATCATTATGGCTGTGCAGGTGGAAAAGATACAACTGTGGCTGAAATGTATTTATTCCTTGGCACTGTCATGCTTATGCCACATACATATAAGCACAACATAGCACAGTACTGGTCCACAGACCACTTAATCAGTACTCCAGTCTTCTGTGACCTCCTTCCTTGCAACAGATTCACTCTGTTGCTACAAATGTTGCACTTCTCAGACAGGAATATGCCCAACAGAAATGACCTCCTATACAAAAGCCAGGAAGTACTGATGTATCTGAAGCAAAAATTCAGTGTCCACTTTTATCCGTTCAAGACCATTGTTGTTGGAAACAAACACATATGCAGTTTAATGTGATCCTTTATTGACAACGTTTCACCCACACAGTGGGCATTTTCAAGTCACAAACAGATCTACCTGGGGTGGAAGGTACGTGAGTATTTATAGTCAGGTTCAGAATGTTGGGGTCAGGTGGAGAATGCTGCATCTGATGATCTACCGAGTGGGGTTATGGAGTCTAAAATCTTGGGTAGCTTGGCAGGGGTATTGGATAAGTTGTGAGCAGACCTTCTGCAGTGTTCTATGTTCTTATGTGGGATAGCAATGAAGAAGTTTCCTAGCAAGTGGTTCAGCTATGTTATAGAAGCCATTGTTCAGATTGAAATTGTTGGTTATAGAGATAAGTGATGATTCCAGGATTCTTCAGTATTGAGTGTTGTCTTCTGTGGCGATAAGTCTTGAGTTTCTGTAGTTAATTAAATGGTTGTGTGAATTGCAATGTTGTACACAAGCATTCCTTGTATCATCAGTCCTGCTTGCATATTGGTGTTCTGAAATACGTGTTTGGAGGTCTCTTGATGTTTCGCCCACGTATAATTTGTTGCAGCCATTACAAGGGATTATGTATACCCCTGCAGAGGATGGAAGCTTGTCCTGTCTACTACTGGTGATGTCCTTGATGGTCGTGGTTGTGGAGGTAGATAATTGGAATGATGTATTGGAAAAGAT